CTCCTCCCTCCTCCCAAGTCTGAAGTCGTAGGAGCCAGTAGCACTGTCCACGGCGGCTGGCCCCCTCTGCTGCGGCTGGCCTCTCCTCGCGCTCGTCCCGCCGGGAGCCGCCCTCCACCTGATTGGGCCGGCGGCTGGGGCACACGGTCTGCGAGCCTCGCTCCTCCCTCTTCCTCTCCCTTTCCTTCCTCCTTCTCCTCCATTCTCTGCCTTCTCCATTCTCTGCCTTCTCCTCCATTCTCTGCCTTCTCCTCCTTCTCCTCAATTCTCTGCCTTCTCCTCCTTCTCCTCCATTCTCTGCCTTCTCCTCCTTCTCCTCCATTCTCTGCCTTCTCCATTCTCTGCCTTCTCCTCCTTCTCCTCTTTCCTTCCTCCTTCTCCTCCATTCCCCTTCATCGTAAACAACTCCTCTCTGCCTCGTCAGACGCGTCCTGTTGAACGACTCCTCTCCTGACGAGCAGATCCACTGCCCTACGAGCAACTCCGACGCGTCGGCAGAGCGCTCCAGATGCTTCGCCGGAAGCTTGCCCTCTCCTTTCAGGGCGCTCTTTGCATCTGTGGTCCGGAAGCTCACGGTCGGGAACACTGGCTTATCATGCCGCGCCGCCTGTTTTGGCCTACCCGGCTTCGGCGCGACACGCTGTCCGCGTGCCAGTCCCCGAGCACGCCCTGAGCCTCTCGGAGTCTCCCGCCCTTGCGGAGCAGCGGAGTGGCACGCCATCACCCCGCAGGGGACGGCGTGGCGACGGGGCCGCCGCCGGGACGCGCAGATCGAAAGTTCCCCAGCGCACAGCTATCAGGAGGGAAAGAAACACACAGACACAATTAATCGTCGATCCCCAGGAAAATATGCGAAAATATGGGAAGTGGGGGGGAAGACAACCACCCAGAAAATATATGAAAATATGGGGAATAGTTTTATGTGTGTGTATTTATTTGTGTGTTCTGGGGCCCCATTTAAGCTATCCCAGCAGTTTTGCACAGACGTGTGGCGGGCCGCGTGTGCGCCGAGGCGCCGAGGCGCATCTGTTGTGGAGCTCCCAATCGTTGCGAGGGCCGCTGTGGCTCTCGGCATCTGGCCCGTTACGATGTGCGGGTCGTCTTCCACGCGACGCGATCGCCACGGCGCCACGCGCGCAGTCTTTGCAACAGTCTCCAAGGCCGACGGGGGCGCATGGGGAGTTCTTTTCGCCACGTGTCTCCTGCTCGAGACTTCCTCGGCAGCGTGCTGCGACAGCCACGCGGGTTTTACATGTTGCGACGGTCACGCGAATGGACGGCGGCCCCTTCTCGAAACAGGGCCCGTGCTGGAAATGGCATTCGGCTGTGTGGTCCCATCGTGTTCGTACGTTCGTCGGGACAGCTCCTTTTCGAGGCGTGGCCCTCGCCGGAAGGGCGGGCTGCTGGGGCGTTCGTCCGTCAAGGGAAGCTCACTGTAACGGAAAGAACCACGAAGAGAAGGGGGAGGCGGTGTAGGAGGAGGACGACGACGAGAAGCGAGACAGGGAGGGTGGTGGGTTGGAGGACGGGGGGGAGGAGGGGGGGAGGAATGGTGATGAGGAGGAGGAGGAGGAGGAGGAGCAGGCGGACGAGGAGGAGGACTAGGACGACGAGGGCGGCGATAGAGCAAGAGAGCCCTTGCCGAACCCGCGTCGGTGTCGACATCGTCAACGAGCTGACGTCGGCCGAGGCCGGCGGGGAGTTCATGCTGAAGCTGAAGGACCGGCCCGCGGCCCCCCGAGGACGGTGGCGTGGCGGAGTCGTGCAGCTCGGCAGGAGGATTGGGTGCATGGGAGGAGGAGGAGGAGGAGGAGGAGGAGGAGGAGGAGGAGGAGGAGGAGGAGGAGGGGGAGTAGGAAGCTCGAGGATCAAGTTTCGAGGGTCGAGATGTGCGGGAGCCCCAGTGCGTCCGTCGAGATTGCCACGACTTGCCGTCGTGAGGTGCATGGGAGGAGGAGCCAGGTTGTTTCAACACCAGCAGTAACAGTCCATCAGAGTCCCCGAGTCCGAGCGTCGCAGGCAGAACATGGCGGGGCCTCGCTGCACGGAGGTATCGTAAGGCCCGCAAGGTCCTTGCGCCAGGCCCAGCAGGCGGTGCTTCCGCAATCAGCCACGCCACGCGACGCGGCAGAGTCACAGTGTGTTCTCGGGCGCGCTTGCCAGCGAGGTTGTTATGACGTTTTGGGCAGGATCGAAGGCTGTAACGAACAGTGGGAAACCGACCCCAACCCCCACAACTACTGATGTTATTTTTCGACGTCTTGCAATTATGGCGAACGTGCGTAAGTGTAAGCTCCCTGCCAGCGGGGCCATTGCCGTCGACTTGGACTAAAGTTCCTCATGGGGGGGCGGGGGGCGCTTTTCATGCGTTCATGTATACCCGGGTCGGACGACAATTGGCGGGGCGGGAGCCACATTGGGGGTGTGCGAACGCTGGTGGTGGCAGTGCTGGGTTGCCGCCAGAACGCGGTGGCAATCCGGTGTCTTGGCACGGTGGGGCCAGAGTCTCGGGACGCCGCCCAGGCTTCAGAAGAGCCAATCGAGGATCACAGGTGGCGCCAAGAGAGGCGTGACACGGTCGAGACATGCCCCAGCCGGCTACCAAGGGGCCACCACGCCTGGAGGCGCCTCCACGCGCCCCGAGTGATCCCACGGGCGCCCAAACGTGTCGCTTTGGTGGCCGCGGAGCTGGGTTGCCGCCCAACCACGGCGACGACCAAGTATCCAGATATAGCCGGGGCTTGTCTGTGCAGAAGTCCAAGCCTCGACAGGGCTCCAAGGGACCGCAACAGAAAATCAAAAGATCTCCACGGAGCCCGAAGAACGCTAGGAGGCCCGTCCGTGGCCATTTTGGCTCAAGGCGCGTGTGGCCAACGTGTACGCTTGTCCGTGCGAAAGATTGAACGCATCACGGGTGGCATGGCGCCTGTTGACGCTGGCATTTCTGCCAAGCAGCTCGGCAAAGTTTATATTGGAACGGCAGGCTTCTCGTGTGCTCACTGGGCTGGCCACTTCTATCCGCGAGGAGTCAAGAGCTGTGCAGAGATGATGCTAAACTGCTTTCAAGAGAAGCTGTGTGTTGTTGAGCTGAACTCCTCTTTCTACGGCACTCCCGCGTCAAGCACTGTACGCAATTGGCAGAAGCATTCTGCCAAAGGTTTCCAGATGGTGTGGAAAGTCGTCAGATCTGTCACACATGAAGGGCGCATGGACAGTGTTACAGCCATCTCTGCACTTCAGCATTTTCTGGGCAGAGCGGCAGAACTGGGGGAGGAACATCTGGCAGTGTTGCTCTTCCAGTGTCCACGGACACTCAGGGTTGACACGAAGCAAATTGAGGCTGTGCACAGTCAGATTAAGGAGAGTGGGCTTGGATGCCGAGTGGCAATTGAAGTGCGCCATCCAGTCGGGCGTTCAGTAAGGAGGATCAATCAACAGGGGTTGAGGCTGAGGAAAGATGCACATCTTCCGGAGGGCCCCATGCAGGGACTCTGAAGGGCCCAGAGCCCCAAAGGGCCCCTTTGTAGGGCCCTTTCCTGCAGTTCTCGATCCCTCTTTCCCCGTGTCTTTGACCCACCGTTACCGATCACCCGATCCAGACTGCCTCCTGGACCAAAGCCTCCTGGACGCCCTCAGAGCTCGCCGGTGGGCTCTCGTGGTCCACCCCGACAGCCTCGGGCGTGCGACTGCCCGACCTCGCTCTGACACGGACCAGGCCTGCAGCAGACGCTACGATCAACTGCAGCCGCTGCGCACGGACGTGGTCACGGCGGACTTTGTCTACGTTCGCCTCCACGGCGACAACGACGAGCACACCTACCGGTACAGCGAGGAGGAGCTGAGCGCCTATGCCAGGCAGCTGCACGACTGGCGCTGCGCGGGGCTGGACGTGTACTGCTTCTTCCTCAACGACGACGCCGCCGCCGCCATGCCGCAGAACGCCGTGCGCATGCGGCAGCTGGTGCACGCCCTGGCGGACGAGCCGGTGCCTCTCGGAGGAGGGCCGGTCGTGGCGACGGCGGTGGGGCAATGGCGGCCCACGTCCGCTCAGGATGGGTCCCTGGGCCGCTCCTGGGATCTCAACGTACACCCTAGGCGATGCTTAAGAAAACCCAAGTTTTCGGCCAGGGTCTCGATGATTCTTAATGTTTCCATGTAGATCCTGAGATTTAGAAAGGAATTCTGGGTTTTTACTCCAATTCTGAGGCTCTGAATTTCTTAACCCATAATTTCTTAAGCATTTCGCAGGGTGTACCAGTTCTCTCCAGGCCTCCCAGATGGGGTCCGAGTAGATGGAGCTGCATCGCAGACGTATCGGTGACGCATCGACGATTCGGCGCGATCTTCCGACCCCACCCACTCCGCTCGCATCTGGGAGGCCTCTATTGTCCGAGCTGCGCCCAGCCGCGGCGACGCGGAGCGTCCCTCGCCTTAGCTTTTGGTCCCACTCTGGACCTCGCATGCCGAAGCTCGGCGGCGAGCGAGGGGGGAAGCGAGAAGGAGAAGGCCTTCTCAGAAGGCTTGGACGTCCCCGGCCTTTTGAGAAGCTTTTGTAAGCCTCCCCAGAAGACAGAACAGACAGAACAACAACCTCTCAGAAGGCGCGAGGGCTCCTGAGAAGCCCCGCCGCCTTCTGAGAAGGCCTTCGTCTTCTCACTTCCCCCCTCGCTCCCAGACCCCCGACGACGTCATTTGTTTTACAGTGTCGACCCCCAGAGGCCTGGACCCCTTCCGTGGGAACGCTCTTCATCCTTCGAGTCGTTTCTTGACGGCCCCGAGGCCCGGGAAGGGCACCCGGAGGCCGCACATACGGGGGCGGAAAAGAGGGGGGTGATGACTAGGGGGGGTGGATATCATGGCAGGGGCCATGATATGTCCCCAGATTTCGTGGCGCCTCTTCTTGTTTAATTACGTCCCTGGCCCCCCCGCTGGGCCGCGCACATGCCGTCGGTCATGATTTGTACCCCCCCCTCTTGGACACCCCCCTCTTGGCCGCTCCCGAACATAACGAAACGCCCCCCGTGGTGTTTTTGTTTCACCACGCGAGGAGGTATGCGGGCTCGCCGCCTATACCTGTCGGACGAAGAGAGAGAGCTGCGCACGTGCACCGAGCTCGGCCGGGCCCCTCCTGGCCCTAGGATCGATGCCCTCGTGGCCACTGCAGGAGGGCGCCTGCACCAACCTTGGGCCTACAGTCGGGGCCCTGAAGAAGGAACCCTTTTCGGTGGGGAGGGGCTCCGCGTTCCTTAAGTGTTTTGCAGCTTGCCTCAGGTTTTCCTTAGGTTTTCGATAGGACATCGAAGTTTGACGTATGGAAAGTAGGGGCCTCGTTCCTTATTTAAGGTTCCTTAGGTCAACGCCCCGACTGTAGGCTGGACCTGGCGCCAGAGTCCGTGCCAGTGCATAAGTTCCCTTGCCTCTGCAGTGGGGGCTCATGCCGAGGAACACCCTGCCTGCCTCCGGGGTGCCCCGGGTCTCTCGGGGCCTCGACGGGTTTGCGAGCTCCCACAGCAAACATCGATGGGCGTTCCGGGGTCTCAGGGTTGGACTTCTTGTGGACGGCTTCTTGTGATCCGGCCCCCACTGTAATCTGAAGTCGGGCCTGTTCCTCTACAGGAGGAATCTTCAATAATTGTCCCACAAAAATATGGGTACCATTTTTGTTTTACTATTTTGGTTTTTGTTTTGAACATGTTTGGGCAACTTTTTTATTTCTGCTACAAAATCCGCGTGTAGGGGGACACGCCCGACCTAACTATAATCTTGGCCCCTCTCCGGACCTCGGCGACGGCGTTCAATTTTGAACGCCGACGGCGACCCAAATTCGTTCGATGTGGACCGATCTGGACGCTTCGGAAACGGCCGAGCGTTCGAGTTGGAACGATCCCCGCGGTGGCGGAAACCAACACCGACGTCGGCAGGACACGAGGAATCTGTCGGCGACTACAACCGGTGCGGTTACGCCGGGGTGCGGTTTGCGAGTTGCTTTGTGGCGGCCTTTCCGGGGCCTTTGTGAGGGACAGTGTCATAGTTGTCGTTTCGGGCGACAATGTCATCCTCGATGCTTGCTCCACTGTGCTAGAAGGAGCGACAGTGTCATGCGATTCGGTCGCATGGAGTGACAGTGTCATCCGTTTCCCGGCGGTGGGAGAGGCAGACATGACGCGAGACAAGCCGCACATTTCGCAAACCGCACCCATTGTGGTCGCCGAATCTCGGCCCCCCTCCGGACCTCGCACGCCGAAGCAAGCCAGCGCCCGCAGCATCGCCAGCTTCTTCCGGCCCGCGCCGGCCGCCGGGCGGCCAGGCGCGGCGGCAGGCACGCTGCAGGCCGTCGCCGGCGGGCCAGAGCCGCTGGGCGGCCAGGCGCCCCGGGAGGAGGAGGAGGAGGAGGAGGAGGGGGAGGAGGAGGCGGAGGAGGAGGAGGATTAGGAGGAGGAGGCGGAGGAGGAGGAGGAGGAGGAGGCGGAGGAGGCGGAGGAGGAGGAGGCGGAGGAGGAGGTGGAGGATTAGTAGGAGGAGGAGGGAGGAGGAGGAGGAGGGAGGAGGAGGAGGAGGAGGAGGAGGAGGAGGAGGGAGGAGGAGGCGGAGTATGCGGAGGAGGCGGAGGAGGCGGAAGAGGAGGAGGAGGCGGAAGAGGAGGATTAGGCGGAGGAGGAGAGAGGAGGCGGAGGCGGAGGAGGCGGAGGAGGAGGAGGAGGAGGCGGAGGAGGAGGATTAGGCGGTGGAGGAGAGAGGAGGCGGAGGCGGAGGAGGAGGAGGAGGATTAGGCGGAGGAGGAAGAGGAGGAGGAGGAGGAGGAGGAGGAGGAGGGTGGCGGGCGGCGCGGGGGCGCCGAGGCGCGGCACGCGCGAAGGGGGCACGGAGAGGAAAGCAGAGATCCCACGTATGGACCAATCAAAACGGAGGTTTATCGCAGATTTCGGCCCCCAGGGGCCCTCCCTTTGGGAACAAGAAGTGACATAAACATACAAAATCGGAAGTCCGCGCGGATTTCTCGGATCGGCGCTGGGGCCCCCCGGCGGCGCCTCCGGCGCCGCCCCTGGCGCGCTCCGCGCGCCAAAGAGGGGGATCCAGCGCAGATGCGAGAAATCCGCGCGGACTTCCGAGTTTTTATGTTCATGCCACGTTTTGTTCCCCTATCCCTGGGCCGCGGGCCCGTCAAGAAACGACTCAGGATGAAGAGCCGGTCCTGGGGAACGGGTCAAGACTTCAAGGGACCGCGGATAAAAAAAACGGCATCGGATCTCTGGAAAAGCAGAGGAGGAAGAGGTACCCGTCGGAGCAGATGGGGTCGGAGGACCGCGCCGCATCGCCGATGCATCGGCGATGCGGCGCGATGCGGAGCCCGATGTTCTCCACGCCGGCGTCGCCGATGCATCGCCCACGTCGACGTTGCATCGCCAGTGCATCGCCGGTGCATCGCCGATGCATCGCCGATGCATCGCTGATGTACCAGCGATGCGGCGCGATCCTCCGACCCCATCTACTGGGACCCCATCTAGGAGGCCTCTTAGGACATCGGAGGATGACGAGGCACCCGTACCTCTACCCTTCCTCGTTTTGCCCCTTTTAGGGGCCTCCTGTTGGAGATCTGCCCCGAACAATCCGGGTCAGGACGCACCCTGGGGGAGCTCTGGGGAGCAGCGGTATCGGTCCAGTCGGGGCCCTGAAGAAGGAACCCTCTTCGTTGGGGAGGGGCTCCGTGTCCCTTGACTGTTCCGCAGCTTGCCTTAGATTTTCTTTTGGTTTTCGATGCGAAATCGAAGTTCCACTTATGGAAAATAAGGGGCCTCGTTCCTTATCTAGGGTTCCTTAGGTCAACGCCTCGACTGTGCCATGTGGTCTGGTTTCTCCAGGGAAAGGGGGACCGCGAGTCCGTCTTGAGCTGGGGTCGCGGACGGTGTCGCCGCGGGCGGTGCACGCTTGAGGCAGAAGGCCGCCTGCTCAGCAGCGACCTCGTGTCGCGCTTGGACAGCATGGGGCGTTTGGCATCGTGCCTGCTTGTCCGTACTCCAGATTTCGTTTTGAAAGGGAGGGGATGACAACCCTCCCCAGACGAGAAGCTTTAGACCCCCCCCCAGACCGTCCATGAAAGGGCGGCCCTTTGCCTAGACCCCAGCGAGCCCTCCAAGACAGCTCAAATCGCACCCCCCCCCAAAATGTGACTCCCCCCCCGCTGTACTATGGAATCTGGAGTACCCTTTTCGGGCGTCCGAGGAGGAGCCCGGCGGCAAGAGGCCCCGGAGGGCGGCGGCTGCGTGCGCCGAAGGAGGGGTGTGAAAAAAGAGCGCACCGGGGGTCCGGGACCCCTCCGCGTCGTGGGAACCGATCACGGCGGCAGGTTGCGTTGCCTCTTCGGGGGGCCCCGCCTGTCCCCAAAGTTGGCGTCTTTTTTTTGCATCCGACGCGGGCTCGATGCGGACTCGGCGCGGATTCGGCGCGAATCCGGCGCGGGTTCGACACGGTCTCGACACGGACCCGACGAGCCCGACACGGATTCGGCACGGATTCGACGCGGACAGGGCCGCGACGGGACAGGCAAGGCCCCCCGAGGCTGCAGCAGAAAGACAGTTTTTTTTAAGTTTTCGGCATTGGGGGGCTTCCTCCGAGCTCCAGGGCCTTCAAAAACGGCCCGGAGTGGAAACACGGGTCCGGGGAACCAGTTGGCTGGACGGGTGGGCGTCTCCTCCTCCTCCTCGTCCTCCTCATCTTCCTCCTCCTGCTCCTCCCCTTCCTCCTCCTCCTCCTCCTCCTCCTCCTCCTCCTCCTCCTCCTCCTCCTGCTCCTCCACCTCCCTCTCCTCGTCCTCCTCGTCCTCCTCGTCGTCCTCCTCCTCCTTGAACAAAACACGACGCCGCGGGGGGCCCGACGGGAGATGTCGGGAGACATCGGCGGCGGCAATCGGCCAGAAGTGATGTGAGATGTCAGAAGACATCGGCGGCGGCAACATGGTCGGATAGCCAAAGGAGGTCCGTCGCGGTAGGTTTGCGTCGTGCCGATGCAGTGGCGATTCCAGCGCAGGCGCTCAAGGTTGAACGCCACCAGTGGTGCGGATCCAGGCGATGCTGAACGATCTGGCGTTTCAGAAGGCCGCGAGGGTTCGAGGTTGAACGATCCGCGCGGTGTCAGAAGCCAACGCGCACGTCGTCGCGGCACGAGCTTGCATCAGAGGGCGAAAGCCCACCCCCACCCCCAGTCCCGACTCCCCCCTCCGAGCCCGCGAGTCGAGGCGTCGGGACTGGGGGCGAGGGCGTCTCCTCCACTCTTGGACCCCTGGAACCTAGAGAAACCACCCCGTCCCCCAGGCCCAGCCCCCTGGTTCGCGGGTTCGGGGACGGGGTCGGGACTGGGGGGTGGGGGTGGGTCGGGCCGGGCGAAAGGGGGGGATTGGGAAAGGGGGGGTTACGAAATTTGCTGCATGCAGCTGGTCTCGGCCTCACCGAGGGGCCCATTCCTCGATGCATGGCCGCCTCCGGCGCCGGGAGGCGCCGGGAAAGTCAGCTATACGTGAGCCGATTCTGAAATCCCCCCCTTTGCTATCCCCCCCTTTCGCCCGGCCCGAGTGGGCTTGCGCGTTCTCACTGCCGAGGCCTGCAAGAGAGCCCAGAGGGACGCGTCGACGTGAGCTGATTTTGAAATCCCCCCTTTTCTATCCCCCCCTTTCGCCCGGCCCGAGTGGGCTTGCGCGTTCTCACTGCCGAGGCCTGCCAGAGAGCCCAGAGGGACGCCGTCGGCGCTGGCGCGCAACCCAGAGCTCCGGCGGCAGCGCAGGGGCCCCGGCAGCTTTGGGAGTCCGCCTCGGGGGGGGCCCCCAGACATTCGCAGCTGACCCAGAGACAAGGACCGGTCTTTGCAGGCCCAGATCGGCGACTACAAAGGGTGTGGTTACGCCGGGGTGTGGTTTGCCATCGGCACCGTCGGGGCCTGAGGGGCACGACACTGTCCTCGTTGGGCCTCCTCGGGGCGCGGCGGAGAGCTCTGTCGAGGTCCTCGCCCGCCCCCCAGGGTGCCTCGCAGGGTGCCGGTTGCAAACCACACCCTTTGCAAACCACACCCTTCGGAGTCGCCGACCAGAGATTGACACCAACACCAATATCGGCGGTGTGCATCTACCGAGGGAAGAAGATCCCGACCTCGGTGATGGTGGTACTATTCTGGCCTCCAAGGTGGCCGAAGTATTGCCACCAACACCGAACTCTAGGATCGTCTTCCCAATGTGGAGGCAACCCCCTGTGTTGGTGTTGGTGCCAATTGCCAGGCCTCCAAGGACCGGCCACCACGCTGTTTAGCTTGGTCTGGGCCCTTGCTCTGTTTTTCGTCTCGTTTTCCGTTGTTGTTTCGTTTCGTTGTTCGTAGTTGCTTTCAATGCCCCGTTCCGTCGTTCGTTTTCGTGTGGCACCGGCTTCGTTTCAAGCGTTCGTTTTAAACGCTGGGCCTCATTTCGTTGTTCGTTGTAAACGCCATTTCGTTTTGAACATCGTTTTGGTCGGTCCCTATCCAAAGAGCGTCCCGAGATTGTTTGGATGGCCCCCCAAATACGCTCCTGATATCCCACCCTAGGGGGCCCCCAGTGCTCCGCAGGCGAACGGCGGGGGGGGTCCCCCGCACGCCAAAAGAGCCCTGGCCTTGGAATGATCATCAACACGCTGCTTGGCGGCCTCGGCGCTAGCTTGCCGCCCGGCTGCGGCGGCAACCAGGAGGCAGAGGAGGAGAAGGAGAAGCAGGAGGAGGAGGAGGAGGAGGAGGAGGAGGGAAGAGGTCCGAAGAGGAAGAGGGAGGAGCAGATGGCAGTCCGGTGCCGCCATCACGAGGGCGGTGTTTTGGGAGAGTCTTCGGGGCCGCCTCGGGTGCTTGAGGAACCATCCCATGGCCCGCGTGACGCTCTCGGGGCATTCCGGGGTCCCTTGAAAGTCAGGGGCAATTAACCGTCGATCCCCACGAAAATATGAGAAAAATATGGGGGTTGGGCGGGAGGACAAAAAAACCCAGAGCATGTGTGAAACTATGGGGAATCTGTTTCTTTGTGTGTGTTTCTCTGTGTGTCCCGGGGCCCCTTCAGAAAGGGCGGAAGGTTTCTTCCAGCAGCGGCGCGGCGCTGCCTGGACGCTAATTACGCTGCCACCGCAGCCCGGGCGGGGCCACAGCGCCTCGGCGACGAGGGCGGCACAAATGGCGGCAGCCTGCCGCGTCGGTGGGGCACTGCGGGGGCACGTCGGAGCACCCTTGCTCAGGGGGGGAAAAACACACAGACACAATTAATCGTCGATTCCCAGAAAATCACCACCCACCAAACCACCCCAACCCAACCCGAAGGCCCCAATTTATCCTCAATTTCCAGTTGGGGGGGGTCGTGGAACATCGAGAAAACACATATGGAACCCGTACCCCCCCCAACCCGAAATTCGGGTCTTCGGGTTGGGTTGGGGTGGTCTGGTAGGTAGCCAGGAAACATGGGAAAATACGGGAAGTGGGGGGGAACCACAAACCCAAAAAAAAAATATGGGAAAATGTGGGGAATCTTTTTTTACTTGTGTGCATTGATTTGTGCGTCCTGGGGGCCCTTCGCTTGCGTCCGGATGTCCGTTGGAGCTGAGGGTCCCCAGGGGGCCGCACAGTTGGTCCAGAGAGCCCCCGTGCCTCCTCCTCCTCTGTGCACTGGCGCCTCCGGCGCCGAGAGAGGCAGGGGAAACTAGACTCATGTCGAGCCTGTCCCTCTACAGGAGAAATAATCAAAAATAGTCAAAAAACATTGTCAGGGGCCTATTTTTTGAGTACGTTTGCGCATCTTTTGAATATTTTTCGTTGTTTTTTCGTCCAAAATCCCCCTGTAGGGGGACAGGCCTGACCTAAAACTAGACATGTGAGATGATCCGCCAACCCCCCCCTTTCCATTCCCCCGTCCCCCTTTTGGTCCGATCCGAGGGGTGCTTTCGGGAGGAGAAACAAGACACACAGACACAATTGATCGTCGACCCCCCTGAAAATATAGGAAAATATGGGAATCGGGGGGGGGAAGACAAAAACCCAGAAACTGTGAGGAAGTATTGGGAATCCTGCTATGTGTGTCTAAGTTATCTACTCGTGTGTCCCAGGGCCCCTTCATGTTTGGGGAATTGGGGGGGGGAGCAGGAGTCGGCCAGATGGCGATGGGGGGATCAGGACATGGGGGGATGAGTATCCGGTACCGTTTTGTTGGGGTACAATTTGTACCTCTCTGCGGGTTGCAAGTACAAATTGTACCTTCTCCCCCCCCCGTTAACATCCTCGCACATGTCGCGGACGTTGTCAAAAGTACAATGTGTACCTTGTCTGCGTGGCGTCGGTACAAATCGTACCTTCTCCGTGGGGCGTAGGTACAATTTGTACCTCGGTTGTGCCTCTCTCCCCATCTGGACTTATCCCCCCATTTGCATCCCGCCAAAGGAGGAGAGGGCAGGGAGGAGGGGGCAGGGAGGGGGGAGAGGAGGAGCGGGGCGAAGGCCGGGGGCGGGGCGAGGGGGCAGAGGAGGGCGGCCCTCGCCCGCCGACGTGGAGGAAGCGCCTCCCTCTCGCGGTCCTGGCCCTCCTCCTGGCCCTCCTCCCTCCCGGCATCGCTCGGGCATGTTCAGAGGCCAGCAGCATGTACATATGTCGTTGCTCGCCCACATGTGCACTGTTTCCCGGCGAGGACCATCGAGGAGCCTCCCGGGAAATCGAGCACGGAACGCACGACGAGGGGAGGAATGCCTCGGCGATGGACGTCCGAGCGATGGCATTCCCGCCTTCTCCTCCCTCCTATAGGGGGCGGCCTAAACACACAGACACAATTAATCTTCGATTCCCAGGAAAATATGGGAAAATATGGGAATTGGGGGAGAAGACAAAAACCCAGAAAATATAGGAAAATATGGGGACTAATTTTATTTGTGTGTATTTATTTGTGTGTCCTGATTTCCCTTTAATTCACCCCGCTGCCCCGTGGATCCTGCAGGCGGCAGTCTGCCCCGTGGGGTGCCCGGTGGCGTGCCGTCGCCCTCTGCGCCCCCGCACGGTCCACTCCGATCCGACCTCATTCTACGGTTCGATGCCGCTCTCGGCCGGCCCGACCCGACTCGGTTCTGATCTTCTGACGATCGAAGGATTGCAAAAAAAGACCCTGGATTGCAAAAAAAACCAAGGATTGCAACAAGCCATGTGTTTTTGCAATCCTGGCTTTTTTGTTTTTGCAAGCCTAGGTTTTTGTTTTGCAATCCTTCGTTCCGACGCTCGGATGGCACTTCTGCTGCATCTTTGCATGGCCGATCCGATTCGACTCGGACTCCGTCCCGATGCGGCCCGATGCGGCCCGATCCGGCTGGCCTCCGGAGAAGGAAGCAGAGGAGGAGAGAGAGAGAGAGAGAGAGAGAGACGAGGAGCAGGAGGAGGAGGAGGACAAACAGGTAGGAGGATGAGGAGGAGGAGGAGGACGAACAGGAGGAGAAGGAGGACGAGTAGTTAGGATGATTTCGATCCGATCCGAAGTCCCGCTTGGATGCCGACTGCTCCTGGCCGTGCCGGGAGGACCCGTTCCGGCGGAGCATCATCAAGGTCACAGAGGCGCGAGCTGGGGCGGGGCTCGACCCAGGTGGTGTTTTGGCGATCTCGTGGGCCGTGTTCGTTCTGCCTTGGTTTTGCAGCGAAGGCGGATACGAAGACAGAACGAGGGAGAACGAAGACAACACGAAAACGAGCAACAGTGCCTTGGTCCAGCGCTGAACTGGAGTCAGGAGGGGAAACACCACACAGACACAATTCATCGTCCGCTCCCAGGAAAATATGGGAACATATGGGAAGGGGGGGGGAGACAAAAACCCAGACAATATGGGAAAACTATGGGGGATTCGTGTGGTTGTGTGTATTTATCTGTGTGTCCCAGGGCCCCTGAGCTGGAGCCCCGACCCTGCGACGGGCGGGCGAGCAGGCGAGCGTGGTGCTGGAGCGAGCATGGGGGAGCGCGGTTCTGCTCGCTGCTCCCGTTGCTGCTGGTCCTTCTCCTCCTCCTCCTGCTTGTCCTCGTCCCGTGAACTCCTGCTCGCCCTGCTGCTGCCGCCCCTCCCCCCTCGTCCTCCTCTTTCTGCCCCCATCTTGCCTCCACCTCCTCCTCTCGCTCCCTGCTCCTTCTTCCCCCCCCTCTTCGCCGCAGCAGGAGGCAATGCACCCATCGGCCACCAGGAGATGGCTTGCTCCAGAAGACAGGGGAGGAAGCGGCCGCAACGGGTATCCACCAGAGACTGCCGCAACCGTCATCCGTCACCTATTCCTTTCCTCACTAATCTCGGGCCGGACGAAAGGGGGGGATTGGGAAAGGGGGGGTTACGAAATCTGCTGCATGCAGCTGGTTTCGGCCCCGCCGCCGGGCCCATTCCTCGATTCATGGGCGCCTCCCGGCGCCGGGAGGCGCTGGAAAATCAGCCACATGAGCTGATTCTCACCCCCCCCCTTTGCTATCCCCCCCTTTCGCCCGACCCGATCATCCTTTCGGCTGGGGTGTTGCACCGCATATGCCTGGCCGCCGGACCGTCTCTCCCTCCGTTCTCGGGCGCACCCCTAATTATCGAGGAGAGGCGCCCCCCTGCGGGCTGCATATACTCCTGAGTGTGCTCGGATGTTCCTGCGTCAGGAGGGGCATGATCGTCGATCCCTAGGAAGATATACGAAAATATGGGAAGTGGGGGGGAAGACGAACATCCAAACCATGTGGAATAATATGGGGAATCCTGGGATTTGTGTGTATTTCTTGGTGTATCCCTGGGCCCCTTCAATTTGAAAATCTCGCGCGGGTTCGGGGCGCCATGCCCCCGATAGGGAGATGGGGAGGTCGTGGAGGGAGGACCGACGAGGAAGGCGGGAACGCCGCAGCAGCCAAGGACGTGAGATCATGAAGGTGGTCGGCAGAGAAGAGGAGCGTGAAATAATCGCAGGCCAGCCATCAGCATGCATGCATCAGCTGTGGCCGGTCGGGTATACAAGATCGTTTCTCTTCGACGTGCTACTGGGTTCCTGTAGCGTCAGAGTGGCGGCAGCGGACGGGTGATGCAAGGCGCCTTTTGGAGAGAGGAGGCGTGGCGAAAAGAATTGGGTGTGAAGACTGCTCAATGCTATCTGATATCGGCTGTGAACTGTTTCAAAATTGGCATGCCGCCGCTATCGAGAATAGACCTCTGCACATCGTTGGCACCCTACACCCTGTTCCACAGTGAAGAGAACAACGAAAGCTCACATCGCGGTGCGTTCTTCTTTCTTTGCAAGGTCAAGGTGGGACGCGAGAGGGTCCGTTACTCCCGCTCATCCGCACCCCGCCTCACATTTGGAGGAAACAGGCTTCCCTTGTCCTCCTGGCCAGCGCTGCTTGCGGCCGTGAGCAGGCAGGGCCATCGTCACGAGGTCGGCTGGTGAACATCAGGCAATCTGACTCAGAGTCGCTCGAAAGTCCTGCGGCAGCCGTGCACGGGTCCCGAGGAGGGGGGGGGGGGGGCGCTGGGGTAGTCTCCAGAGGCAGGATCCTGTGAGCTCCGACCCGATCCTTCCCCTCCGCTTGTGCACGTTCGTCGGATTTGGCCAGGCTCCTCTCGGATACGCCGAGAAGATCCGCAAGATTGCGCACGACGTCAGCATGGGAGATGAGCAGTACCCGCCGAAAGTGTTCAACCCACTGGACCACTGTGGGCGTAGGCAGGACATTGTGCTGAGGACATCGTGATGTAGCAGGCATGATGACATAGTGTTGTAGCAGACATGATGTGATGAGGACGAGCGGGAGTCTGAGAGAGATATAGAGAATGAGAGAGAGAGAGCGCGCGAGGGAGAGAGGGATGGATAGAGAGAGAGAGAGAGAGACCATGAGAGAGATGTATGAGGAGCTGGAGGGGAGGCGGAGGAGGAGGAGGAGGAGGAGGAGGAGGAGGAGGAGGAGGAGGAGGAGGAAGGGGAGGAGGAGGAGGAGGAGGAGGAGGGAGGAGGAGGAGGAGGAGGAGGGGAGGAGGAGGGCGAGAAGAAACGAGCCGAGAACGAGCAGGACGAGAACGAGGAGGAGGAGGAGGAGGCAATAGGCGCTGCCCCGCATTCGACGACCTGGCGAGGGAAGAAAAACACGGACCGCGCACGGCGCGGGCGCATATAATTTCCGACGATCCATTCACGGAGTTGCGAGGAGAGCACCATTTCCCAGTTTCCTGGGCGGCAGCAGTTCGGGCGAGCGTGGCAAGACCAAATCGTGCGCCGCGTTGGAACAGCACACACACACAAACAAACACACACCCTTACACACAGACACACATACACACAAAAACACACACACACGCACACACGCACTACAGTCAAAAACCCTAATAAGGACACGCGACTTTGCTCAGGGTACCCTTGAGTCCTTGCTCTTCCTTGCTCTTGCGGCTCGTCGTTGGCCTTACGGGGTTTTCGTCGTCTGCCGCCCCAAAAAATCCAACTTCGGCTTCCACGGGTCTTGCGTCCTTACCGCGCGCTCTTATTAGGGCTTTTGACTGTAACTACGCGGCGCTTGGGCGATGATGCCATTTCGCCTGCTCTGGCGCGGCCCCGCTGTCAGCGGCTCCTTCAACATCGACCTCGGCGAGCGAAGCATTCGTTGCGCCCGCGCGGGGATGCCACTTCGAGGCGAAATCTGCACGAAGCGCAGGCGTGTGCGACCAGTCGCCCCTTCGCGCGTTGCCTCGCCCCCAACGGCCACCGGCTTCGTGAGGGACAGGTGCGGCGCATCGCCGAAGCATGAGCGCTTCTGCGACGACATCTGCGAGGCGCCGCGGGGAGAGCGACGGTTTCGTCCGGTCGCGCGCCGACAAGTTGTCGAGCGAAAAGACTGAGCGTTGCGCGCAGGCGGGGGTGCTCAGGAAAACTTTGGCGCGGCGCCGAGGCGAGAGTGGCATTCGGACCTTCTCTTCCCGCGCGCCCTGCGGCTTAATTCGTGTTTTGCGTGACCCACTAATGCCACATCGCCGGAGCAGTCCCTCAGCCCAGCCGCCGACGCAAAGAGTGTGTGTGTGTGTGGGTGTGTGTGTGTGTGTGTGTGTGTGTGCGTGCGTGTGTGTGTGTGTGTGTGTGTGTGTGTGTGTGCGACGCAGATGTTTGCGCCGGGCGTGCTCTTTGGCGCGGCCGCGCCTGCGGGGCGGCGCGAGATTCCAGGAGTCGCCCAGGCGCGGTTGTGCAAAAGACCAGAGGAGGGGACGCAGGGGGAGGAGGGAAGGAGGAGGGAGGTTGCGGGGGGGAGGGCAGAGAATGGAGGAGGAGGAGGAGGAGGAGGAGGAGGAGGAGGAGGAGGAGGAGGAAGATAGATGAGGAGGGGGAGGGGCTGGAGGGTGAGGACGTACCCCTTCCCTTGACCGCCTCCCCGCGTTGCTTCCCCTTCCTGCCCGCCTCTGCGCTGGCGCGCTGGCTCGAACATGCAGGCCCTGGATCTGGGGTGCTACGGGAGCCGATGCGTTGAGGTCCCGGAGGCTCCCTGAGCAAGGTCGTTCTGCAGCTGCTGCTGCGCCTCCCCTCTCTCAAGCAGTGGCGAAGCGTCCTGGCTCGCCTATAGCCCTACCAAACAATGTTCTAAGAACCTTTTTGTGGTTTCCAGGAGCTGTTCTTAGAACATGTCTGGCTGGGACTGTCTAGTTTTATCACATCGGGAATTCGTTCAAAGAACATTGTTCTTGTTCTTAGAACACTTTTGGGTTATGAGGGCATTTCGTGGTAGGACTATAGGGGTGCCGGGACGGTCGGTCCCTGCTCAACTCTCCTCCCTTCCCCGACCTCCTCTTGCCTCTCTCTCTCTCTCTCTTCTCAGGAGCCGGGCGACGGATGGCAAACCCGTGGCTGCCAGAACGGAGCTCCCGGAAATTGTCTGCTTCTTCTTCTTCCGGTGAGCAGCCCGTTTACTGCTTCATGCGCTGGGCTCGGTTCCGGGGATTTGTTTTTTCTTCCGGGGGACCGTTTTGGCAGCCAGGGATGTACCAGCCCTCGCCCAGCTTCCCATCTTCGTCAGCGCTCCTCCTCCAGAGCCTCGCTTCTCGACCTGGCCCCGTGGCGCCATGGCGTTTTCCTCTGCCGCTTCCTCGGTGCCTCCCTCCCTCTCCTTCACCTCTCCACAATCCCTCCCTCCCTCCCCCTTTTCCCTTTTTTCCTTATCAATCCCTCCCTCCCTCCCCCCCTCCCTCCCTCTCTCCCTTCCTCTTCTCCACCGTTTTTTGCTCCTCTCTCCCCTCCTCTCTCCCTCCCTCCCTCTCTCCCTCCCTTCCTCTTTTTCCTCGGCGTGCCATGACGTAATTGCCCGTGGCGTCTGGGCCCTTCTGGGGGCCTCGGGAGGCGCCCTGGGGGGGTCCTGGTGGTCCCAGGAGGTCTCCGGGGGCTTCCTGGGGCCTCCGGAGACCTCCAGGGCTAAGTCGTGTGCACCCCTCTACAGGAGTCAGATTCAAGAACCGTGAAAACATAGTCCGGCGACGATTTTGCCTCCCAGATCCGCCTGCAGGAGGGCATGCCCGACCTCACCCCAGGGGCTCAACAAACCTTGATTCTCCCGCTCGTCTCTTCCTCCCTTCTCGCCCTCACGTCTGAGCGCCACCTTACAGTGGAGACCCATGCCAAGAAGCACCCTTCTTGCCTCCAGGGTGCCCTGGGTTTCTTGGGTTTCGATGGTTTTGCCATGGAAAGCGCGACTTTCCCACACCAGAAATCAACGGACGCCCTGGGGTCTCAGGGTTGGGGTCCTTGTGGAAGGATTCTTGTGGTCGGGCCCCCACTGTAGTCCTGATGGGACGTTGGCCGTGGACTTCGTGTCTTCTGTTTTGCTGCAGCAGGCTCGTTGCGCTGGTGGCTGCTAGCAGCTCTGCACGACACAGGCGACCCGCCGCGCAGTGGGGGCGATCGCTCTCCACAGAGCTGAAAGAAAAAAAGCTAAGCGTGTAGTTCTCAGCAGTGGTCTGACCATGGACCAGCTAATGGCCCGCAGCTCCACCTCGACGCACCTGCCGATCGGCCTCACTCGCCCGAGGACCGATCGAGCCCAGGGCACTCCGAGGACGACGGGTTCGGCGCGCGGCGCCGCAGGCACCTCACGGCCCCCTTGGGTTCGACATGTTCGCGGCCGAGCTTGGGGCAAGCCAGCACCATGGCCCCAGGGGCCTTACAGTCGGGCCGCTGAAGAAGGAACCCTTTTCGTTTGGGAGGGGCTCCGTGTTCCTGAGTTGTTTTGCAATGCTCCTTGGGTTTTCCTGAGGTGTTCAATGGAACATCGGAGTTTAACTTATGGGAAAAAGGGACCTCGTTCCTTATTTATCGTTCCTTAGGTCGAGGCCCCGACTGTACAAGCTTCGGCCCCAGGCCGCAGCGTGACGGTGCCCTGCGAAGCCACAGCAGCGTCCGTTCTAGCATCCCAGGGGCCGCGACTTTCGTCCGGCCGCTGCACCATCTGCCTGTCGCTTCCCACGAGCGGCGGGGGACCACCGAGATCTTGCTGCCGCATGCTATGGCCCAGCTGTCGGCACGAAAGTTGCCACGGGGACCTCGGCGGGTGACGAGCCCGCGATCCACACCAGCCTTGGCCAGGCGGGCTGTGACCTCCCTGGAGGCTAGCAGGCTCCGAGCCCCCGGAACCCAGGAGCGCCGCCCACAACTCCCGCCACGGCCCCGCCCTCGCGGCGCAAGAGTGGGCGGCTCCCGAGAGACGATCGAATGTCCTGCTCTTGCATTGTAGCCTTCCTCCGAGTTTCGAGCTGCGGACCTTCGTATCGAAGCGAGGCTCGTCGTCCTCCTCATCATCCTCCTCCTCATTCTCCCCCCCTTCGCCTCCGCCCTGCCTCAGAGTCGTCCTCTCCATTTCTCATTCAGCTCCTCCTCCTCCTCCTCCTCCTCGTTCTCCCTCCGCAGTTTTTTCGGCTCAAGGTGCCCGCTCACTTGGGAGTGAGACGGGCACCGTTGATCCGCGGCCAGTCCCCGTTTCCCGGTGGAGCACAGTTCGTTCACTTCAATGCCAGACGGGGTTGTGAATACATTGAGGGAAGTCCAGTTCCTGCCGCTGCCTCTACGTGGCGCAATAATACGGCGAGGCCTGGCGTTGGTCCCCAGTAAGGTATTGGAGATGTTTATCTTTTTCGCTTGTTTGTTCATGAAAAAGCATTGGGGCGTGATGATCGCTCAAGGTGTGTGCATGGTTTTGCATCCTAAGGCGGCGACGACGGCATGGGTCCACAATCGTGGGGCCGCTACACTCACTGCCTCATCGGCCAGCGGCTCTCCGCCAAAATCCCCGAGTTCACAAATGAGCTGGGCGAGCACATGGCATGCCACGCGAACACACAGCTGCTGACAGTGAAACGCGTTTCGTTCTTGCAGCGGTTCAGGCATTGGGAGCCTCCCAACACAAAGTCCCATCCTCATGCAGGAAAGATGTATATACATCTTGTAGGCCAAATATCCGCTCCAGCTGGCGTCGTCTCCAAGCTCGGACCGGCACCATCAAGGGATGGGGGGTGACATTGTGGACAACAAGACCTCGGACTTTGCCAGGCAGCTCGATGACATGAGTGCCTCCATGAGAGAGATGCGGATCGAGCTCGCAATTGCCAGGCGTGTACCGCCACCACCACGCACGGATGGGATTTTTCACAACGACGAGGACGGCACGATCGTAAAGTGATGGCTCCCACCATGGTGCGCAGAAGTGATGTGGGTGCCATCGCCGAGGCGTGGCTTCAGAACGCTGACATTGCAGATGGCTTCACGGTTGGCGGTGGGGATCTGGACAAAATCTTCCCCGAGCAGCTCGTTGGTGCCACTGGCATTCCTGGCAGAAAGGGTTGTGGTTGTCAAGGGCGTTTTTGGCTCTCCGTCGTCGTGGCAAAGGTCAATGGATCCGCTTCCTTGCGCTTGCCGCCTCTGTGGCCCTACGCAGCTCCGTGTTAGTCCAGACGAGGGGCCACCCCAGATCCACGTGGAGATCGCTCGCCTGAAACACGAGAACCTTTCCCGCGAGCGCTGCACAGGCAACGCATCTCTCTTCGACCCGCAGAATGGCGGGATCTCGGCAAGCTTGAGCCCTATTCAGCGGTTGGAAGAACCGCAGCAGAACCGTGGCCCTACCACATTCTTCTGTCCAGCTCTTCAAGCAGGTCATCGAGCCGACAGCGGCGCCTGAATGGTCTCGTCCTCCATGGGGCTGTCACCCGCGAGGCCGAAGACGGCGCTCCACCCCGGCCTCAGTCGATCGCGTTCGCGTCATGGAACGGTCGCGCCCTTCCTCGGCTTTGGGGAGATATGGTCACGCAGAAAGCTGCTTAACTTCGCAAGTCTAGCATCTTGAACTCGACCTTTGCCCGCCAAGAAGTGCATCGGAACATCGGCGCTTTCGAGATCTGCATGATTTCGGTCGTACCTGACTCGGGCGCGTTTTGGGTCCTGAGAGAAATCCGGAGAGAGTCGCCATCGCGGTGGCGTTGTTGCGGTAGTTCCTATCTCGCTTTCGGATTCAGTATCTTATTTGGCGTCCTCTCTTGTTCTGGGAAGAGTGTCAAAGGCAATTGTGTTGCAGGGTCAAGAGGGCATTCGACGCTGTGACTAGCGCTATCACGGCCTGGCGGCTGGACAGGCTCAGAGAGTGCGCGATCACCTTCAAAGAGATGCTGTTTGGGGCCAGAGTGGTCGCAGCTCCAGTCTGGCGACGGCCTGCGTCGGCTTCGACATTGCTGGCGCTGACGAGCGGTGTCTTGGCAAAGCTGGACAGGCGCGGCCCAGTAATGCAGCGAAACCGGCCAGCGCGCAGTCAAACGGATGGCTCGCCTTCTTATCTTGCAAATGTTGGAAATCGGCTCAAAGGACTCCACCCGCTACTGAAATCGTTCCAATGCGTTTGCCAGACTGGGTCGCCCAATTTGGGCACCGCGCCATTTGTCGCGCTCTGTCACGGCCGTCGGCATGCCAGACGTGCTCTTGGAGAATGAGATGTCCGACCGCGTTGCTGTTCGTCTTGCGCGTCCGCGAAACCTGCCCCTGTCCTTGCGTCGCTCGCAGCTGCATATGCTTGGGTCTTTCGTCTGACGAAGCCCCCCCTGCGGCGGAGGGGGGCGAATGGGGGCCTTCCACTGCGGGGGGGGGGGGGGGGGGCGATCCGCCGCGCCATGGCTGGGGCCCTCGCTGGGGCCAGGGCGGCCGCGCCCCGTGGCGCGCGCCGCGCCCGCGCAGCTGCCGGCCGCGCCGCCCCACCTACCTCCTGCCCCCACGTTCTGTTAACCCGTAACATTGGCACGCAGCGGTCGGAGTTCAAAACCAAGTTGCGGGTGCTCATCGAAACGGACAAGGAGTTATTGCCGGCCTCCCTTTGCCGAGGTCTCGGGACAGATGCGCATCTCTTTCTTGTCTGCAGTTGCGCGCGATGTCATGGGTGCGCATGGCTCTGCGCGACGAACCTGGGCCCCGTGGGGGCCCGGGGGGATTTTGCGCGACAGGCAGCGCGGGCCCTCTGGCGCCAGGGCG